CGACTGTGCACCATATTGTAGCCTACATCTGCCTTTTAAATCCACAATGAATTAATAAAAGCACTGGTGGGCTGGAATACGAAGCTTGACATATGTGTTTTTTTGTAATTATTATTATTGTTTAAGTTTACAAATATATTCTGAGCAATTTGGATTGAAACCGTAAATAGTTCAATAATGAAAATACTCAAAAAACAAGATCACGTTTATTTTTTGCAAATAATTGAAGGGTATAAAACGAAATCTGGGCTTTTGTGTTGATTCGGACTGGCTTCAGTGCGTTTTGAGAAAAGGAGATGATGCATTTCAATATGGTAATCACTCACCCGGGGCATGTTTCATTTATTGACAGATTTCATGTTAAATGTCTCGAGCTCACTTAGTGTTGTAGCTCTTAATTTATTATGTTTTGAGCTCTCTCTCCCTCGTTCTCCCTGCTTTGACCCTTCGAGGTCACACAAGCAATTCTTTTTTTAAACGCATGATTAATTTCTCAGTAGGGCGACGGGCTAATGCATTATGAAGAAAGTGAAATGTATTCCAAAGGGGCTAATAGCGCTATTGTATTCCAATAAGCCTTTTCCTGCTTCGCATGGTTTAGACATGCTCCGCGTTTGATAACATGTCAGCGACATCTCTCTCAGCTTGGAGAAAGTTGTGAATAATTACGTCTCTTTCTAAAAAAAAACTTTCATTATTGGTTAAAAACACAGGGATTTTGCCAGGTTAATTTTGAATAAGAGATGTCAATGCAGCCACAAGCGTAGTTCGTTAGGTTTTTATTAAGATACAAACATCGACGTTACTCGGAGTTTGAAACTTCCGAGCAATACAACACTTCAATCCATTTCTAAAAAATAAAACAACTCTGTGTTAAATTCCTACATTTCAATTAAAAACTTTATTTAAATCGCTTAAGCTTCTAAACCTTTACTCTACCTGCTTTTTGTTACGTGGCTATTATCATTTCCTCTCATCGCTATTGTGACGTCACTGCCTTCAGTTGCTGCGGCCCGTGCGTGGCTCGCGCCTGCAGAATCTCGGCCGCCGCCCCCCCCCCCCTCCTCTCTTGTCCCTTCTCAGCTATAGTGGTCCCGTGGCGTCCGTCCGCGAGACAAAAGCACGCGCAGTGACAACCTAAATTGGTTTGAAAAGGAGCAGATGGGGCTCGTGCTCTCTACTGTGTCGCTTTTACGAACACACACACACACACACACACACACACACACACACACACACACACACACACACACACACACATGCACGCACAGATTTGTGTCATGTTTAAGATTGGGCCAGAATAAATTACAGGCAGTCTCAATATCCAACAGTCTTTTAAAAGGATTGAGAATTGATACACTTAACAATTACTAATAATAATTCCAAAAAAAACAAGTTGAATCAAAACGTTTATAAATAATTTAGAGAACAAAAATGGACTGGAAAAGGGCTGTTCTGACACAAATAAAGTATTATTACATTACTAAAGGGTTAACAAATGCAGGATTGACTGTAGCTTGTGTACAAATATGTTCATGTAGAGATCAGACTGAAGCCAAGTATGTATACTAGCCATATAGCCACTACCAGTTGCTTTATATTTCTGCCCCATGTCTATTATATATTGTACCTTTAATCTGAATGCATGCATATGCCAAAGTTATTTTAACCACCTAAACACTGAACCATGACAAGGGTCTGCGTGTGTGTAACATGCATGCAAAGAAGAACAAGTCCTAAAAACAACTTTATTACGTTGTTTTAATTAAAGAGGACAATCAGTATTTGGGACAACATTTCCCTTCATCCCCATGCAGAGTTAAATGAGATCCTGTCTTGCAATGCAGACGTTTACTAAGGACTATGAGGCACTGAGGCAGCTCTTATCTGGGTTATGGACTTAATATTTAGGTCTGCACTTCATATCTGTAATTTTCCTGCATATTTCTAGTGGAAGGAGTAATTGAGCAGCCATGCCTGGTCTAAGAGCTTGGAGCAGGGCCGTAGGTATTATTGGGCCCTCTGATGCAGTACTGTGGTCGCACCCCCATTTTGTCCCCACCGTCACATGGGTTGAATACGAAGATGTGAGTATAGTCTTATTCTGTCTGCTGTCTTTGGCACACTGCATCTGTGTTTAAAAACGACATCATTTCCGATGTCAAGCTCCTCTTTCAGCAGTTTATTGGTGAACACTTTGCATCTCACAAATTATGTTTATCAAAAGTCAGTTGTTTTCCAGAAATGTCAAAGATGCCCCCTAAAAGTGTGCAGTCTACTAGCACCATCATACAATTGAATGGCAACGCTTGTATTGTGACTGGTTTGGAGCCATGTGCAGTGTCAAACACATTTTTTATAAATATGAATTAAGTGACTTATAAAGCAATTTAGCTAAAATTATGTTAATCATAAATGTTGTATTGGGTCTGCTTATAGTGGAGGTCGGAGGACAACCATAGACTGTATAAAGAGGAGAACATTTAAATGTAACATTTCCTGCACAATCAGATGTGTATAAAGTGTGTACATTACATGTTTTATTTTTTGAGATGTAACTTTTATTCACCATTCAGTACGGTATTGCTACGGGAGCAGGTTGGGGCTAGATGCCCGAGGACACTTCGACATGTTGACTGCAGGGAGTGTGTATCGAAACACCGACCTTCCGACTGAAATACGCTATTTCACCCCCTACGCTTTTTCAGCATGCTTGTGCATCTCTCAGTCCGTCTATGTTGCTACTTTGACTTTTTCAGCTCGTGACGTGAGTATCAGTTAGCAAGATATCTGTTAGCTGTTCTTCAACTGAACCAAGCAGGAATAAAGTGTGTGTGGAAGTGCCTACGAGTGTGTCCTATGGTGGGCTGAGCTCGCGCTACACGCCAATCAAACACGAGGCAGGTGCGTGGTAGAGTGAGAGAGAGAGAGGGGGAGAGAGACTGCGAGAGATACTGCGAGAGAGAGAGAGAGAGTCGGATTAGTACAGCGCGTGGAGTCTCTGAGAAGCGAATAAAGCCGGCGCGAGCGTCGCAGTTTACTCACATCTCACGAGCTGCTCCTCAGTAGACAGTTGGAGACAGAAACCGGTACCGCATCCCGGATATATATCAGTACAATTCGCGTGATAAAAATGAGTATTTTAAAGCTGGGTAGGATAAATCGATTTATCTTGTAACGAGGAGACTTTTTTTGGATACGCTGTGACAGTTTTTGGGATTCTCGGGAGTCAGAGGTAAGGACTGCTCATCGATTTCAGTCTGTAAAGTTAGCTTAAATAGTTGGTTAAACGAGCGTACTTAACATCATCTGTGTGGGACAGAAAACATGCTTTTAAAAAGTATTTATTAGATTAAAATGCTTGAGAAGGTGAGTGTGGATTTTTTTCAAATGCCGTCAATTTAAATTAATATGGACCCGTTGCATCGTCCAGTGTTTATATGTTGTTATCTGTATTATTTGTATTATTGTTATTATTATTATATTTTAGTTATAACATGAACAAACCTTTACCGTTAATATTGTTCAATGGACTAACATAATGCCTGACTTACCGATAAGTGTGCTGCTTTAATAAAGGCGTTACTTGGCGAGTAAACTTGTGCTTCAATAAAATTACACACATTTAAGTCGTTAAATGTTGTTGATTTATTTGAAGCTTAACTCTTTAGTCATATTGTTAATTGCTAAATAGTTGTACAGGTTTTTGCTATTTCTCGTTGATAGCAAAAACGTTAAAAATATTACAATTCAAAACGAAACCTGTCTGTTTAATATAACCACATTTCAGTTCGTTTTTATTATTTGGAGTTGTAGTTTTCCTTAATGTAATTTGCAATGTAATACGTTATAAATAGCAGCATCTTATTTGTGTTTTTTGTTTTTAAATCATTACACATTTCATGCACATAAATATCACATGCTTTAGGTAATTTCAAAACTGTTCATTTCATAAGACTTTAATAATGAAGTAAAAAAAAAAAGTGGTTTTGATGTCACAGGACATTTCCAGTAAAACATTTATTTCGCAATAAATGTCCTGCCATTTTCGTGATACTGCTTTAAAATATATCTAAATAAATCATATGGATAAAATAGTGAAGGAATACAGTATTTAGATATTTATTCACTTTCCTAAATGAAGTTGACGTGACAAAACTGTAGGGTTTTATTACCTTAAAATGATTTATATGGGCTGTGTATGTTTCATGTATCCTATTAACATGTTTTGGTTACTCCGCTTTCTAGATAAAGGATATTTCAAAATGTAACAACACATTCAAATGAACTGAAATGTAATGTATTAATTAAATTAATGTATGCCTATTTGTTATAGGAATATGGATAATACTGTACTTTAACTGCAACCATTATGTTGCAAGCTTGTGTTTTCTAGTTAGTTTATTGTTTAAAACATACACAGGCAAACACACTCATTACTTTTAAATATATAAATGCTTCTGAGAATTTAATTTTTTAGTTAAATAAATGTAATTGATTTCCATTTGATTATTACAAACTGTTGTGTTTGCTGTTTACCTAACATTCAACTTTCATTCAGTATCTTTATCCAGTTCTTTTTTTCTGTGCCCTCAATACTTTTTTGTTGTAGTTAAGAAAACAAATCAATTGTTATTATATTTTGTAATGACTTATTTAACATTTCAAAAATGTGTTCAGTTCTGTAAAGATAGAAAGACAAACAACGTTTGCTGTTTTTCTGTAAGATTGGGTAACAGAAGCTTTTCATTTAAATGCATTTCATTTAAAATAATACACATTCTTTTTAATATGCACTTGTTCACACATCATCAGCTTGTTTCTGGGCACACCTACGTGGTAGAATTAGTGTTTCTTATAATAAAAAATACTTATTCATTTCATATTATTTGTAATACAGGGAGACAGAATGTGTCTGTAAAGAAATAAGAGGATTTGTATGTGGTTAAAAAAATCAACAAATGTTTTCTTTCTTCCTTTCTTTTTGAATGCAGGTCTTTCTACATACCCTTCCCCTCACAGTATGGATAAGACCCATCTTTCGAGCACTAATGACATCATAATGACAAGCTCCACAGGCTCCTACCAGCAAGAACCCCTGACACCACCCAGATCCGCCCATCTCCACTCCTCATCCTCCTCTTTATCTTCTCCCTCGCCGTCCTCTTCCTCCCCACCCATGAAGCCAAACCAAGTTGGCCAGGTCATCCTGTATGGCGTTCCCATCGTATCGCTGGTTATCGATCACAACGAGAGACTTTGCTTGGCTCAGATTTCCAACACACTCCTGAAGAACTATAGTTATAATGAGATTCACAATCGGCGCGTGGCGCTGGGCATCACCTGCGTCCAGTGCACTCCGGTTCAGTTGGAGATCCTCCGTCGGGCCGGCGCCATGCCCATCTCATCGCGGCGTTGTGGTATGATCACCAAGCGTGAAGCCGAGCGCCTCTGCAAGTCCTTCCTGGGAGAGAACGCACCGCCTAAACTGCCCGACAACTTCTCCTTCGATGTGACACATGAGTGCGCCTGGGGTAGCCGAGGTAACTTCATCCCGGCACGCTACAACAGCTCCAGGGCAAAATGCATCAAGTGCTCGCTTTGCAACATGTACTTCTCCCCGAATAAGTTCATTTTCCATTCCCACCGCACGCCGGAAGCCAAGTACACCCAGCCCGACGCCGCCAACTTCAACTCCTGGCGTCGACACCTCAAACTCTCTGACAAAATCCCAGCTGATGAGTTAATCTTCGCATGGGAAGACGTCAAAGCTATGTTCAACGGAGGGAGCCGGAAAAGAGCGCTGCCGTCTTCGTCCCATTGTTCCTCCATGGGGCCCATGAAGAATCTCGCAGGTTCCGTTCACATGATGGGGTCTGACCTGGGTGCTCAGAAGAGATCCCGCTTTGACGACGATGATGATCTGGATGGAGGCAATCTGTCTCCCCGTAAGACCTCACGTAGCTACCCTGTCATCCCCGTCCCGAGCAAAGGCTTCGGCATGCTGCAGAAGTTCCCCCCCACGTCGCTCTTCCCTTCGCCTTACCCCTTCCCAGCATTCGGTCTCTGCCAGCAGAAAAAAGATGACAGTGATGTTTCAGGTGTGCAGAAAGGATCAGGGTTGTCAGGTCTGTTATGGCCCGGCCGCAAAGACACTTTTTATCCCCCTTTCTGCATGTTTTGGCCACCAAGAGCGGCGGGAGGAATCCCTGTCCCTACTTACCTCCAGCCTCAGCCCAGCGCCCTCTCCTCCCTGGCAGACAACCCCTCTCTCAGGCAGGCCTTTTTGGATCTCTCAGACCACAGCGAGCCTGGAGTAGTAGCTGGCAACGGAAATAGTATCAGTGCAACCATGGCCCCCGGAACTGCCACAGCCAGACCCGGGCTGTTTGACCCAGAGTGTACAACAGTAACCCCTGACCTCCGCCCTGTGACCTCAGAAGGCTGGCTCAAACTTCTGGACACCCCAGCCCTCCAAAGCAGGAAGCCCAGCTACGGCTCAGCCTTCAGGCCCGTCATTAAGGACGCCGAGAGCATCGCTAAGCTCCACAGCAACGGGGGAACAGATGAGGACTTTGTAGTGGCCAGGTCTGAACGCCACCAGCGGCTTTCGCCCAGCAGCAGCTGTAGTTACGGAAGTGAAAGTGGAGGCGATGTAGAGGCGGAGGGAGTGGAGAGTGAGGAGGAGGGAGAAGTGGATGTGGAGTCGTCAAAGCAGGAAGATGAGGAGGAGGAAGGGGGCTTCACAAGCAGGCTGCCACTGACTCAAACCAACCTGTACCACCCTGCGCTAAGCGACAGCCATGGAGAGGAGAGGGGGAAGGAGAGAGGGAGTGGCGCTGTGTACACCAGCACCTCCCCTCCCTCCTCCTCAGACCCCATTCAGCAGGGGTCCCCCAGCCTGCCAGCATCCCCTTCAGCCAGCCTGCCTCTCTCCGGCTCCACCCCGCCTCACCGAGAGGACCCTGCTTACAAAAACGTAAATATCCCCGCAGGCCACTTTAGCTAATTATTATTTAAATGGTGCCGCAGTCAGGCAGCGATGTGATCTGCATAAGCAGATTGATAGACCGGTTTCTCCCTGAAGAAATTGAAACAGTCACCCCAACTCTGATCCGGGCTAATAGGCCCAGGTGTGGGTTGTTTAATGGCCACGGTGTGTTTGTTCTCCCTCTGTCACCCCAGCCTGTTAGGGCAACTCTAATCTTTAACCTGCCGACTCCCACATTAACCGGCCTCTGAGGGAGAGAAAGAGAGGGGGGGAGGGGAGAGTTATGAGGAGCATTTTAAACAGAACAGTCTAATTATTCATTGTGTAACATCAATGGATAGGGAACAACCTTACACTCCAAATTAGATCATTACAAAGGGATGAAACCCATGGGCTGATTAAAAAGGAGATAGCATTTGTCAAGAAATTATTAAAATGTTTGCACAAATTAAATCCATATTAATAAAACATTTGCAGGTCTTTAGATTAAAAAAGGAAACCCATGTTTATCAACTCTATTCATCACATCAACAAATCTAGTTTACAAAGAAATGCTTTGACTATAGGAAGTATATCCTGCTTTGATGTAATGGAAGTATTTGTTGCATAACATATATATGGAATTCTGCTTTTCTTTCAGGTTCACAAAAATAGAGATGAAGGACTACCTGTGTACGCGACCAAAGACAACTCCAACATTTCTGGTGAGCACAGACATTACTATGTTTTTAAAACTACACCTTTTTCTTTTTTAAGTCCATAATGGAAGATTATTTATATTGAATCAAATATGAAGTATTTCTTCCTTGACATGATGCAGTCGTTCCATCTGTTTCGTGCAATTCCTCCTTTTGAGTCTCTCTCAAAAGTAAAAATACATTAAAGCAAAAAACACTTTCTCTTTCTCAAACCATCTACAAAAAGCTCTACAATTTGCATGGG